AGACAACTACCGCATTAGGAGTAGGTAGGTATATATCCCGTGTTGTGGGGGACTTTACAAACATACATGAAACGGACACAAAGAACACCCAGAACGTCAATTTGTGGATTACACAAAGTGTCGTCCCATGTGGGGATCGGGCCTATAACACTCAGCATAGTAGGAAGCGGCGAATCGACCGATTAAATCACTATGCCATCCGTCCAATAGTAAGGAGGACTGGAAGTTTAGTCCCTATTAAATTAAAATTTAAAAAACCATCGACACACATTTTGGATTTGAAATTTGTCATAGCGTATAGTATTCTAATAGTCAAGCCCTTTAATTGGATACCCATATTGAGGCAGTTGTAAAAAAAATATGTAATCCGCCATTTTGTGGCGGCGGCCATCTTGAACCGATTTTCATTAAACATAGCTAAGAACACACCCAACTAATTCACCTTTTAATCAAATCAAAAATCAAAATCGATTCATCCGTTCGAGAGCTACGATACCACAGACAGACATACACACACACACACACACACTGACACGTCAAACTTATAACACCCCGTCGTTTTTGCGTCGGGGGTTAACATTGCGTTTAATACCCTCCTATCGCCCCCTTCAGTGTATGTTTGTAGAGAGAAATATTTTGCAAGCGTCGTGAACATAATTTGAATGCAGACAGATTGATATGCAGTTGACAAATTCGTGCGACTACGAAGTGTAGATACGCGACTGTCAGTGTTTTACATATATTAGACTAGTTCTTGCCCGCGACTGGTGCGTGGTGGTCGTCATCAGACATCGTAGAAGATAACCCTTTTCAGGGTAATTTTGAATAATTAATAATAATAATATTCCGAGAGTCCTAATTAGGACCAGTAAATATATTTTTTTTGTTTTTTACTGTACCACATACACACAACGCCATCTAGTCCCAAACTAAGCAGAGCTTGTACTGTGGGTACTAGACAACTGATATAAATACATATATACTTTTTTTTTGTAAATACATACACATTATACATAGAAACACCCAGACCAAATCAAACATCAAATGTTCATGCACACAAATGTTTGACTTGAGCGGGAATCGAACCCGCGACCTTTGGAATAGCAGTCCGTTACACAAACCACTACGCCATCCGGTCGTCAAAACGTTTTTGATTAATAAATTGTATTTACTGCGAGTTTGATAACCCTACTACCAAAAATAACGAAGTTTCATATGAAATTCCAACCGCGTCGCTGGGGGATCTTTTTTTTGAAAAACCTACTATATATATATTTCAATTTTAAGTTTATAACTCTGTATTTGTAATGAAATATACATGTATGTATGACTGAGGTGTAAGTGGTGTTTCTCTGAAGAGTCCCTTAGGTTGCCCACACGCACACACCTCTGTACCCCTCTGATTGTCGACAAACCACTACGCCATCCGTGCAGTCAAGTTATTTGAATGAATAGAAAAATGAAAGGATCGGAATCAAATTGGTTCATCCTTGAGATTGCAGTGGCGAAAACTATTAAATTGGAATGTTCAAGACAACGTTACGTTCAACGTAAAGTAAAAGTGCTATGATTCTGTATGTTTAAGAGGTGTTATTGGAAATTTGCAATATCTATGCGTCTATGTGTAAAGTTTATAATAATATATCTGACACATCTTATCTTGATCCCAAACTAGGCAGAGCCTGTACTATGTTAACCAGACTGATGAAAAACATACTTGTATATTTTTAAATAGATACATATTATAGATAAATTATACCCAGACACAGAACAAATGACCGTGCTCATCACACAGTATTTGTTCTGGGTGGGAATAGAACCCACGACCTACGGTTTAGCAGTCAGGGTCACAAACCACTAGACCAACAGGCCCATATGAAGGTATGAAGCTATACAGGATTTAAATTATAATAATAGGATAATTGTCAAGTCAGACATATTTGTATGAAATACTGAGGCGTGACGTCATACCTAGCTGTTGTCAATTTTTTTTATGATACAGGGGGGCAAAATAGCGGACGGGTCACCTGATGGAAAGCGATTCATGAACTGCTGGAACTCTGGAGTCACAAGCACGTTGCCGGCCTTTGAAGAAGGAGTAAGCTCGAGAAGGAGTAACACTACCTGGTACCCGCAACTTCGTTCACGTGACATATGAAAAACGCTGCCTTCATCAACAGTTTTTAATAGTCCACTGCTGGACATAGCCCTCTCCTTAGAAAGGAGGGTTTGGCCTACTGAACCACGCTGGCCAGACGGGTTGGTATAAGGTTTGTGTCAAGTTTTCCTTCTTTTTGAGGTGCTGGTGTCCTGCGTTGTTTTGCGCCCTTAGTCGGCTCTTACGACATCCACGGGATGAATTGGGGTAGTGACATTCCGTATTCTTAATCCGTCACTACACGGACAAATAAACAAACAAACGCTGCTTTCATCAACAGCCTTTAATAGTCCACTGTAGGACATAAGCCTCTACTGAGAAAGGAGGTTTTGGCCTACTATACCACGCTGGCCAGACGGGTTGGTAAAGAGTTTGTGTCAAGTTTTCCTTCTCTCTGCTGTGCTGTTGTCCTGCTTAGTTTTTTCCCTTAAACGGCTCTTACGACACCCACGGGATGAATAGGGGTGGTGACACTCTGTATTCTTAATCCGTCACCACACGAACGCTGCTTTAGTGGGTTTCAATTCCCGGGCCGGGCAAAATTTTATAGGATATTTCTGAGATAAAAAAACAAGTTTCACTTCTGCCGTGTGTGAATTGCACACACACACACCCGCTTTTTTTCTTTTTTCTCATTTCAAAATATTCAATACGATTCCCGCTCAAAAAAAAAGACAAATTAAATTTTTCGTTTCATTTATTGTATCTTTATTCAATCACAGTCTACTAATAAGTATATAGAATACAATACATTATGATAGTGGATCACATTTATTTAAATATTTAATACATTTATTATTCGGCTTCAAACACACAAGTGTTTTTATTATTATTAATTAAAAATAACATTTATTAAAAAAGAAATATCTAATAAAAAAATAGGCAGACTCGATTTTAAGGGGATTTAGACACGAGCAGATGAAACGCTGCGTTTTTAACGATCGGCGGTCCAGCCGCCTCTCCGTACGTCTTTAAGCTTCGAGGTGTTTAAAACTATTTAGTTCCAAATAAACATTACAATAGTTAAATTGTATATTGTATAATAGATAGTTATTAATGCAAGAACGTTGCAAAATGTCCAAATAAGAGTTCATCGAAATTGAATTTCTTTGTAGGTACCTTTTCACACCGTTGGCGTCCAACTGCGCTTGCCTATCCCTTCGTAAATAAGAGTGTGAGTGAATAAAAAGAAAGAATACAAGTCAGAAAGAATGAAGAAGAAAAGTCAAGATCTTTAACAGGTCTTAAGTAAAACACTTTATACAAGTCTAAATTTATTTAAATTATAAAATAGTACGTAGAAATGCAAAAAGGTTATATTTAAAAGATCACCATCATCACATCAACAGCCTTTAATAGTCCACTGCTGGATATTGGCATCTCCTTAGAAAGGAGGTTTTGGCCTACTATACCACGCGGGCCAGACGGGTTGGTATACGGTTTGTGTCAAGTTTTCCTTTTCTTTGCAGTGCTTCTGCACTGCGTAGTTTGTTCCCTTAGTCGGTTCCTACGACACCCACGGGATGTAAAGGGGTGGTGACATTCCGTATTCTTAATCCGTCACCACACGGATTTAAAAGATATCACTTATATTTCTCAGAAATATTTCTCAAAGCCGATAAATCTTTTTTATTGGTTTTAAAACTGTTATTTGGACATATTGTAACATATAAACTGATAATATTAATGCCTCTTTGGCTCAGTGGTAATTAATACTTCAAAAACTATTAATACTTTAAAACTCATTGGGTCGTTGCTCAAGAGTAACTAAAATACAGTTTTATTGTAATAAGATATTTTACGTCACGCATAATGGGAGGCGAGTTGATTAGCGAAGTGTGACTTTATACATATAGGAACTTTGAATTTGATTATTTGTGTTGTAATATTGTTAAATATATGATTTTACGTTATAAAAGTAACCCTATGGTGTAACTTAACACCATATAATAACACAGAGTTATGACAAATTGCGATAAGGAAATCAAAAAATCGTAAAATGCGTGTGACGTGGTTTATTTGTGGCTCTTTAGCAACTGGTCCAGTTAGAGAAACTTTAACAGATGTATTTAAACTAACATATTTATTAATAAACGGAATAAGAACTCTTACTCATAGACAATTAATGAAATTCACCAATAGAATATGTTAACTTTTCTGAATCAATAAACATTTTAACGACAATCTGTGTTTTTTTTTTACAAAAAATGCATTTTAATAGAACGAAAATGTATTAATATTAATCAAATAGGCAAGTTTAAAAAGTAATACATTTTGGTTCAATATAAAACGTTAATACGAGTCAAAAGAAACATATTTTATTGTACATAAATAAAAATGAAAAACATATTTTTATAAAAAGAATTGTCATTTTCATGTACTGAAAAGTTCTTATTCACGATATATTTAAGTATACTTTTGTATGTTATTAAGTATGTAGCATTTATTTATATTATGACACGATTGGTAAATATATGCTTAAAGCAAAATATTAAATATAAAGATTATTAAGGCTATGATTTATTAACTAGTAATTTAAATAATTCATAATCCAAAAGTTTGAATCAAAAGTCAGAAAACACTTTTATGTTTTCAAGCACAAAAGCATTTTTCTGACAAAATTCTGACCAAGTAAAATATGAAAAAATAATAATTATGTTACAAAAGTTAAAATAAAAATTACGCTGAATGATTTCCTCCCTCGCGGTAATAAGATACAAGAAGCCCAAAAACGTTGATCGCAGCGTTCGAACGCGCAGTGAGTAACGGCCCTAAATACAAACTTATAGTAACAGGAACATCCAGTTAAGTATACTCGACGCTTGCAAGTCAGTTTGTTTGTTTATTCAGCCTGAAATAAAAAAAGAAAAACAAATAAATAAACATTGTTTTTATACTTAAGTTAGTTATGTCTAAAAGCGGGATTCAAAACAGAGGCAGACTGTAATTTTTCATAGCTTTTTTGTACCTTTTTTTTTACGCGGCCATGCTTCCTCACTGGCAGGATTACATCAGTAGAAATATTATCACATCAACAGACTTTAATAGTCCACTGCTGGACATAGGCCTCTCCTTAGAAATGAGGTTTTGGCCTACTATACCACGCTGGCCAGACGGGTTGGTATAGGGTTTGTTTCAAGTTTTTCTACTCTTTACAGGGCTGTTGTCCTGCATAATTTGCTACCTTAGTCGGCTCTTACGACACCCACGGGATAAATAGCGGTGATGAATATTCCTTATCCGTCACCACACTGACAAGAGCTATTTTCCCTGTCTTTAGACATTGAAGTTGAAAAGAATAGCAAGAATAGCTAACACTGCCATCTATTAATGAAATCTGGAACTATAAGAAGAAATAAATCTATGGACTCACTCTAGCAGGATAAACGAACGTTTTAGCGTGTTGTGATCCAAAAACATTTGATGCGTAGCAAGTGAATTCTCCCATATCACTCCAGCGAAGTGATAAGATCACTAGTTCACCAGAACGGAGCACCTGAGACAAAAAATGTAAACTTTTAAAATAAATTCTATTTATATATTAAAACTTACAATAGTGACATCTAATGTGACTATTAATAACTAATTATTAATACTGCCATCTATTGGCCGGAAGATGAAATATTTTATTGTGACAAAATTAACGAAATTGAAAAATTGATTTATTAAAGATATCATAAGAGGGAGAGAGAGAGAGGTTAGAGAATTACTAAATTTTACATCTATACTTTAGCTATAAAAAGATTATGTAGTAATAAAAAAATTACATAAATTAACTTAAAGTTTATGTATACCTTCATCCTAGGATCTTTTTTGACGTTATCGCCTTTATTGTCCACCCACACTACACGGGGCCTGGGGTGACCCTTCGCTCTACACGGAAGCACAATGTTGTTGCCGATGTTGTCCACGTACATTTCATAGGTAACCACAATGCGCGGCTCTAACGGGTATAATTTCGCTCGTTCTGATAACTGAGTGCTGCCATCTATTGAGGAATAGACAAATTAAATATTTTAAATTTTGTTTTTTAAACGACGTATTTTACTGTAACTGAAAAAATCTATTCTGGTCTAAACATATTATTCAAGAAATAATAATAGAGTCTTAAACCATAATTTCTAGTGCCCATGTACACCAATCACTTAGATCTCCTATGTATGCTGTAACATAGGTAACATAGGTACCTTTACAACCAATTTCAAGGAGGGAGATAGATCATTTCGGTTATGTTTCTTTGTATTTAGAATACCGTCATTTGTGAAATGATATTAATACTTATTTTTTTTATTTGAGAGAACATATCTTCCGTTTGACCCATTCATATTTGAAGTAAGAATGCTACCGTTTAGGTACAAAATTAAGGAACGAAGTATTCAGTTTATTATGATGTAGGAGCTATAAAGTAGGATTAATAAGTAGAATTTATTAAAGTAGGTTTATTATTATTTATATACTCGACAATATTTCCAAAATCTCGATGAAAATCCAAGGTATTTCACTCTTTTATTTTTGTCGCCATATTTTTATACACTCCGATCTCCTGTTGCTACTGAAGGCGAATTCATGTGATGTGTAACATCTAATGCGGAGGATTAGACCGGGTGTACGCGTGGCGACGCTTCGCCACAGCATGCGTCGCCACGCTGTGATAGTATATGCAAGTGAATGCGAAAAGTGAATATTATATTTTTCATTGTCCTTTCCTAAGTTATTTCTGTGATATTTTTTTTTTAATAACTTTGATGTTTCACACCTGCCAAACGTCCCTAAGAATAATTTTTGTAAATCAACAGCCTTTAATAGTCCACTGCTGGACATAGGCCTCTCCTTAGAAAAGAGGTTTTGGCCTATTAATTTTTGTAAAGATTATTAATTAAATGTTGATTAACATACCTTTGCTATAAACGATGGTCGTAGCCCTCGCAGTCTTGGCTCCGGCGGTCACCACGCATGTGTAGACATCCCGTCCAACCGTCTTGGTGACCAGCAGCGTTGATATAATCCTCGCCAGCGACGACGGATTGCTGTCTATCAACTCGTTTGATTCTACATCATACTGCAAGAGAGAGAAAGAGATCCATTTAATATACCACCAATAATAATAGTAAATTGGTAAATCTCACACACGGCAGTCTAACTGCGAACTGGGCAGAGACTGTACATATTTTAGAATAAATACACCTACACACAGACTAAATGATCGGGCTCATGACACAATTGTTTGTCCTGGGTGCGAATCGAACCCACGACCACTGGCTTAGCAGACAGGATCACTAGACACTATACTTTAAAAACAAGCCCGTCCAGTAATTCATCCTTTTCAATCCTAGTTTATGAGTTATTTGCTTGATCTGCCTGTAGCTTTGATATAGGGGGAGCATTTACATATACTATAGAATAGTTCATCATTAATCGTTCCTTTAATAGTCCTTAATATCCGGCCTTTAATAGTCCACTGCTGCTCCTTAGACAGGAGGTTAGTGGCTTACTATACCATGCTGGCCAGACGGTTTGTAGAGTGTCTTTCAAGTTTTCTTTCTCTTTGCAGTGCTGTTGTCCTGCGTAGTTTGCTCCCTTAGTCGACTCTTACGACACCCACGGGAAGAATATAAAACCTCAAAACAGCGAGGAACAATCGGTTGCCTACATTTTTCAGACTTGTTCAAGTATCAAAAGATTACATGCCACCGATAGGTGGTAAAAAAAAAGTGGGTGGCGACACTCCGAATTCTTAAACCGTCACCACACTGATAGACTATGGATATACTATAGAATATCAACAGGAACGCAGCATATAATCCTATTTATTTGTTGTTCTGGTTAGCTCCAGGTTCGACACATCGAAACAATGTTGTGGTATATCTAATGATGTAATTGTATCTATCTGGTAATTAAAAAAGAGTGGCCATGAGTTTGTTTGCCATTTCTTCTCATAAAGCTCAACCTCTTTGAAACGGGCGGTTGTAGATCAGCATATAATAGATTTTCGATACGTATATATTTATTTTGCTAAATATTTGACAAAACAGAGATTGTTGCTATTGTGTGTGTTGATCTATGACTTTGGAGTCTACATAAGAGAAGATTTTAAACAATTTTAAAAATTGTATGAAATTAAGATATTTTGAGTTTAAGGCACTTGTAGCAATGCAGTACGTGTTTGATGGAAATCTTTGTTTGTAACATTGTTTTAAACCATTAAGGGGGGTGTGGGTTTAGTTGAAACGTAAAATATAGTTCTTTAATATTCAAATTATCTAAATGGCAAATAGGACAATGCTTTTGATTGTTTTTAAATGAGGAAGGGGCATATTTCAATATTATGTTTAGTGAAATAAAATACTCAACAAAAATGATTTAAAATCAATATTTCGTTTATGTTAAGGTGTTTAATTATGTCGATATTCATTGTAACTACATTTTATATCAGAATAAAATAAATTATTATGTAGCATATTACATAGAAAGCGTAATATTTGTTCATTTTTTGTGTTTGCATCCTTACCTCATAAACCGGCGCATCATTTTTAAACCAATGTACAGATGGCGCTGGTGTCCCCACCGCGTCACACGTTAGTTCTAACACCTCGTTGTTAGAGTGTGTGTAGTTAGCGAGCGGTCGTTGCGCTATGCTTAGGAACTTTCGAGATCCGGATTGTTTTGTTGGAAGTACAGCTGAAAAAAGAGAAACAAATTAATTTAACTTATTTAGTTAGTTTTTTAACTTATTTTTGGTTATACAGTTGATTAGAAAATTGTTACTGAGGTTGGTGTTACTATTACACGCTAGATGGCAGCACTAGGTAGTTTTCAAGTGGTGTAATGAGTTTTAAAGAGCAAGGCCCCTCAGGAGGTTCTTTTGAAGTAGAGCCGACTGACTCCATAGTGATGATTTAAGAGCACCACTTTTTTCACAATTAATTTTAACTCATGGTACGCTATTCCTAATATACACCTAAATATATGCCATGATGGATTGATATTTTATGATGATGATAAAAACTTCTATATTTACTAAATGCGTCGTGCATGGATGGCGTAGTGGTTTAAGAGGTCATCTCGCCGCTTTCTACTCCGCTGAGTGTGCTGGGTTCAATCCCCACAAAGAATAACACTTTGTGTGATCTACAAATTGTTCTCCTGAGTCTGGATATTTTTGGTGTCCGTTTTATGTGTTTGTGAAGTACCCCACGACACAGGTTTATATTCCTTGTGCGGGAGTTGTCTTTAAAAAAGAAAAAAAATATTGACGCAAACTTGGGGAAAAAAATAGATTATAATTTTAGTCCTTCAAAGACCAAGTCAGTTAAAAAAAAGCCTCCGATTCAGAAATCAAAAGCCTACTCTTTGCTCTTTGATGCCAAATTTGACTATTGGTGATAGGACCTTGTACAGTTACTGATTGGCGCGCCAATTCTCATTTTGCGATGCAGGATCCGTAGTTTAGAATGTCTTCGTTAGATGGCGCTGATATTAGTTTTTCGCTGTACCATACCAGGCACATAAATATTACCTATATGCATTATGTTAAAGAGTGAATAAGTTTAATTATATTATGAAATAGTATATCTTTCACTGATTATTTATATGTCACATCATCAACAGCTTTTAATAGTCCACTGCTGGACATAGGCCTCTCCTTAGAAAGGAGGTTTTGGCCTACTATACCATGCTGGCCAAACAGGTTGGTGTATTGATTATTAGGGATATTTGTATAAAATGTGTGTTTATAATATTGATAGTGTTTATTTATGTATAAATGTGTGTTTAATATTATTAGGATCGTATTATAATATTATAATTAGGTATTATTAGGATCGATATATAATCCACTACTTCTGTTCTTTATTTTTTATTGAAATTAAATTCTTTTTTATGTATAATGTTTTATGATTTGTTAATATTTTTTCACACCAAAACTGCTAATAAAATTGTCTATTTAACAGTCGATTTTTTCATCCAAAGCTTGCCTGTAAAGAATTGCTTCGTAGAGATAAGGCCGCCATTTGTACAAGGTTATTTATATGTATGTTAAGGGTATTAATTTGATATTCTCTGGTATATGATGTACTAAAGTGGTGTACAATAAAGTTAATTCTATTCTAATGAAAATACTTACCATTATTTTCGATGGTATTGTCTAATTCTGAGAGCATTCTCATGTGTTTGTTGACGTTGGCTGAGCGGCTGCATCCTAGGAGTACCGTGGCGACCAGTAGTACTAGATACATCGTGGCTATTGTATAATACTGAAGAGATTCTATTTGAGAGGTATCCTGGAACAAAGGAAAGACTGTCATTAATTTCTGACCCATTTAACTTTTCCCAGACTAGGTGGGGGGTCGGCCTTTAGTTTACTATGATACGGTTTAACTTAAATTTTATTACGTGGAGCGACTGCCACCAGGGCCTCAATTCTGCTGTTTTATGTTCACGCCAAGCCACTGTCATACCACTGACACGCTATTGACGCTTAAAAAAACGTAATATATTTTCAAATTATCAGGAAATGATTTATTTATTTTTCCAAATATGGCAATATTTTTGATATCACCACTGATGAGCCACTGCCATTCCATCGCCACTGTAAAGACACTGAGTTAGTGTAGACTACCGATATTTATACTGAAGCCAATGGCCACTCGATGGCATCTCAATAGCGTGTCAGTGGTATGATTGTGGCTTGGCGTGAACATAAAATAGCAGAATTGAAGCCAACCCAAATACTAGGCATTATCGAAGTTCTGTGGAAACTTTTTAGGGCTCCAAGTACCCGTAACGATTGCCACAGATGTTCACATGGCCACTGGGCCCAACGGCTTAACGTGCTCTCCGAGGTACGGAGGGGTCTCAATGTGTAAAGAAATGGTCACCTATGACATGGCTAGGATTGCTTAACTCTGCAATGTCCCAACATACTCGGTCTCATACCCTATCCAACTCATTTCCTACTATTAATTAGGGTCTACCCTTCTTTTTTTCTATCATTCGTCAGTTCACTGCTTATTCTCTTATTGGATCGTTAATCGTCTAAGATATCTTCCATACAAAGAAATTTCCTCACAACATTCTTTGTTCATCCTTGAGTATCACATATCCAAAAAAAATGTTACATACAGGGTCATTCCCCGTAGATATCGCACAAAAGTAATTACTAGGTATATTTGTATTCCGCGCAAACAGACTACGCGCTCTAACACAAGATGGCGGCTGGAGGGGAAGCCCCGTGCGCTTCGGCCGTTTGATTAATTAATTAGCGCAGGCTATTTCTTTCTTAAGTAAAAATGTGGTGTGGCTAGTATGTTTTTTATTATTTTTTCTATTTTTTATGTTTCACTTCATTTTCTCTTGTATTCGTTTGTTCTTCTTAATCTTGTTTTCTCTTCGTTGTTTTTTCACCTTTAAGTCCTTAATAACGGACATACTAGCATACATCAAAATAATGTTGTGATATATTTAATAGTGCCATTGTATCTACTTGTGAATTGCAAAAGAGTGGCCATGAGTTTGTTTGCCCTTTCTTCTCATAAGGCTCAACCCCTTGGAAACGGGCGGTTGTAGATCGGCACAGGCATATCATAGATTTTGTATGGGTTTGATTTTGTTAAATTTATTTGGTTACTATTTGACAAAACAGAGATTGTTGCTTTTGTGTGTGTTGATCTATGACTTTAGAGTCTACATGGAAGACGATTTCAAACAATTTTGAAAATTTTATGAAATAAAGAAAGTTTGAGTTTGAGTTTGAGTTTGAATTATATGCGGTGTTTATTGAATTATTTTGGGTGAAATATTCTGTTTACTCATTGTGATATCATTTTTCATAATTTTAAAACAAAAACATGGAAAATAAAAAAAAAAAAATTAATGATTTTTCTAGCAGAAAATTCCAATGATTTTCGACTCAGAATGATGGTCTGAATATACTATTTCAGTATTCGTTACGACGTCCCTTACACCCTGTATATAAAAATAAACTAAACTTAAGACATTAAAGCAAAATGTCAAAGTCGATGGAGAATTTGGATGGATCTCAGAATATATACTCGTATGTATTTAGTTGTTGACTGGTGCGTAGATCTAGCTAGCCTAGCAACCCTGACTATTACGCTAGGGTCATGAGTTCGATTTCTACCCAAGACAAATAATTAAGGACATTCGGTTTTTTTAATAGAAAAATCTTCAGAATTGGCGTCTAAAAAACAATATTTATTCGTAACTGATTAAGCTAAACAACGCTTAATCCTATCCGTAGTCGCGAAACTTGGACAATAAATATCCGAATGGTATCCGCATCCGCCGTTATACCTTGTTAACGAACCCTCACTAGTGTCAACCAAAGTGAGGTGTTACAAATTTATCTAAGTGTAACATTAAATATTACTTTTTACGCACAAATTATCATTTAGTCGATAAATATAATATTTCTTTACTAATATTATAAACAAACTTAGTATATCACATGGCACGTTACTCTGATAGAGTCATAAAACTCACAAATGACAGTTAGAGCGGTTTCGCACTACGCCTGATCCGAATCCGATCCGAACCCGTGAATATACGGATCAAGAAATCTCGAGCTGAATGAGGGAAGTGGATTTACTGTATTTCCAACTCCTTCAATTTTCTTCTAATTAATTTCGTTGCGGGTTCCAAGACAGTTTCATTTCTTCCTGGGACTTCCTGAGCGTCATAACTCGGTGTATTCGTGGGTCACTGCTGTGGATCCTGGTGTACAGGAGTTACAGTAGTGGGCGTGTGGGTGGGATCAGTCCCTATTGCTGTTGTCCTGCGTAGTTTGCTCCCTCAGACGGCTGCTAAGAACGACATCCACTGGACGAATAAGAGTATTGACACTCCGTGTTCATTAAGAACACCTTACCCACACGGATGCCAAAGAAATATCCACATGTATACCCACATTCCAGAGACATAACCCTCCTTTTGGCGCAGTCAGGTAAAAAGCCAGGACTTTGATGACATGTTTAGCGACCGTGTGTTAATGACAATATAATTCGGACGATGACATGTTCACGGCACTTATCCTATCAGTATAAATGTTTCTTTATTATAAACTACACGTGTTTAACGCAGGCAGTAGGTGGCGTACGAGACTGCTGTGCTGAGGTCTCGGGTTCGATTCCCAGGTCGGACCAAATGTTTGTATTTATCTGCAAATATTTGTTTCGGAGTTTGGGTGTTTTATAATATGTATGTATTTACAAATAAAAAAGTATACAAGTATTCTATAAGTCAATCTAGCTTTCATAGCTATGATCAGTTTGAAACTAAATGGCGTTGTGTGTCAGATGTCCGAAATATCCGAAATATTAAAATAAAAAGTTTATTTAAAGTTATACTGTTTTAATATTAACATCGGTTGTATGACCCCTTTGAATATGAAAAATTTGCCCAACACTGGGCAATAATAATATCTCTACATGACGTTACTTTTTTATACGTCAATGAATTTATGAATTTCAATATACATTTATTATTTAAAAGTTTTGTTTCATTCATTCATGTTTTATTTACATTATTATACATTTAAATATTTAATATGTAGTCATCTTCAATATCACAAATCATAGACGTTGGTAACCGCTTGACCTGAATACTAAAGTTAGAAAGAAATTATAACGGAACTTCTTCGAGGCTACACCGCAGTTTTAAACTCGAATAGTGTTCGCAATTAATAAATTACGAATTATTATGTAATACAGAAAGTATATGCGTATAATATTTATAAAAAAGGGGTTAGAAGGACAGACGGTTGTCCTGATGGTAAGCGTTAACCGCCACCTATGGACGTCTGCTACTCCAGAGTTTTAAGTGCTTTGCAGGGATTTGAGGTTGTGCGAGGCAAAAAGTTTCTTGAAACAGTGCCAATTCTCCTAGTGGTCTAGTGCTAGTCCGTTGGTATAGTAGTTAGAGATCTTGACGGCTGAACCAGAGGTCATGGGTTCGATTCCCATCGAGAACAAATAATTGTGTGACGATCTCGATGAATTGTTCTGTGCCCAGCTGTGATTATGTATGTTTATCAGTAGTCTGGTTATGATAGTACAGGCTCTGGGATTAAACTGCCGCCGTGTGCGAGATGTGTTAAGTTTTTTTTTATTTGTTATTTTATACCCAGAAACCCTTTATTTTATACCCGGCGACACGAGATATATTCCTTTTAAGAGTAAAAAAGCGGAATACCGTGTTAAGGTTAGGACGTTAAAGCTCCTTGAAAACGGTATGCAGAGTTTTATGACAATCAGTGGAGTGGTTATACGTGTGGTGACGGATTAAGAATACGGAATGTCACTACCCCAAATTCATCCCGTGGGTGTCGTAAGAGCCGACTAAGGGCGCAAAACAACGCAGGACACCAGCACTGCAAAAAGAAGGAAAACTTGACACAAACCCTATACCAACCCGTCTGGCCAGCGTGATAAAGTGGGCCGAAGCCTCTTTTCTGAGGAGAGGCCTATGTCCAGCAGTGGACTATTAAAGGCTGTTGATGTGATGATGATGTTGTACCCAGAAATAGGGTATCTAAAGAGTACAGTGGTCGTAAGATTCTTTGTCTGTTTTTTTCTTACGGGGCTCCATAGTTTGGAAACGAGTTGTTACCGATCGATAGTTACAAAAACAACCATTGATATTTGAATTATAGGTGATTTCAAATTATTGTCGAGATATTTCATTTTACAACATAAATATGGTTTATATATATTTATGTTGTAAAATGATTATCAAAACATTTATAACTTAAACTAACAATAAGTTCATCGACCTGTTGGTTGTTAATTTATATGTTTTTGCCTAGATGGCGTTGCACTAATGACCTAGTTTTTATAAGTCAGTGTTAAGATTCTCAATGAGTAAATTAACTAATTGAGAATTTAATAACTAGGATGTTACGGTATTCAATTGTACCGACTTTCCGACGACTTGAATTCCTTTGATTTATAAGAAGAAGAGGAAGATCAAAAGTTACGAGTCGAACGAGGTTTCCTTTTTCTCTCATTCAACTTGTAACTGAATCTCAAGCATGATGTGAAATAAACTGGCTAGCTTACTATATGCTGTCAATAATGGGTACGCATCACCCGGGTCGGGCATTTACTCATCGTGAGTTGTGGGAGAACCACGGTCTCACAGCAGTTAGCAGTTCTGCCGTTGATTTTCATCAAGTAAATGTAAGCGGTAAGAGAGCACGTAAGCCGATCATCTGTGGCAA